AGAGGGGTCGGCGTCAGTAAATAACTGAATGTCGATGGGAGAAGAAATTAAGTTATTATAAAAGAAAGATAGGCCGTTCCATTGTTTAAGAAAGGATATCCATAAGCTGAGCTCGTTGCAGCACGAGTCGGTTAGTGATACTCGATCCTCTAGTGCGTGGGCGGAGGACGCGAGAGAGAGGAGATGCGAGATGAAAGGGCGGCCCTGCGGGATGATGCGCATCGCGAAATTTAGATGACCGAGAATGGATAGCAGCTCGCGTTTGGAGCAGCTTGGGTTGTCTAAGAGGGTGGAAGCGACCAAGATCGTTTTTTCCTTCTTTTCCTTCGGCAGAGAAGCCTGGCATTTTTGAGAATCTAAGTTGATACCCAAAAATTCGCTCGGGCCCGTCGGGCCCGCGGTTTTGTCTTGGGCGAGAGGAATCCTCTGCAAAAAAGCTCTGCAAAAACCTTTTGGGTTGTCAAAAGATGTGCGGCTGGGATGGATTCAAGAGGCGGGATGATTAAGAAATCGTCTAAAAGATGGATCAGGTAGGGTATTGCGTAATTGTTGGAGAGGATCCAGCAGATTGCCTCTTGACAACATGTCGAAAATTTTTGGGCTGCTTCTGCAGCCGAAAGTGAGGCGGACAGAAAAGTAAAATTTATTATGATGCCAAATGCCAAATAAATGCCAAAAATCCGGGTGAATAGGCATCACTTTAAAGGCAGAGGTGATGTCGCCAGCCAAGAGCCAAGCGCCGCGACCCGCGTTTTTGATCAGGGTAATGGCTTGGTCAATGTCATGGTAGTGGAGAGAAAATTCTTCGAGCGGAATGAGGCTGTTAACGCTTGGGAACGGGGAATTATGCGGGGATGAGAGATCGATTATGAGGCGTTTTTTACCTGAGAATTTCCTGGTAGCTACACCGATGGGGCTAACACGGAAAACATTAAAGGGAGGGACGGAAAAGGGGCCGATCATGAAGTTTGCGTCTGTTTCTTTTTTAATTAGGAGATCGACTGTTTTGGGTTCAGCGAGAGCGGACTGGAGATTGGGGCAGATGAGGCTTAGGCAGGGGAGTTTTCCGACACCGGGGTGAAAGCCATGAGAGAGACTCGATAGTAGATAATCCATAAAAAATGGGTCAGGGTGATGAAGCAATTCTGAAGACAAACGAGAAACATTTACAGGAGTCGATAAGTATTGTTTAACATTTTTATTTGCAGCTTTTTGCACTGGACATATCAAGCGGGAGTGAGCGCCGCCACAAAAATTGCAAACATGCATGAAACGGCAGCGCTGCCTTGAGCATCTGCCAGTATTAAAACTTAGACAGACAGACAGACGGATAGATAGATAGATAGATAGATAGATAGATAGATAGATAGATAGATAGATCAAACCAGCTATTGTCTATCTCTGACAACCATAATGATCAATTTAAGTCAAAAAACAAATAAATGTGAAACTGAACATGAGAACAAAATCAACAGCAACAATGTAAAAAAAAAAAAAAAAAAACACTGAGAAAAGTCGAAGAAAGCGATCATACTAAGCATTCAGGCCTCTGAGCATGCTGGGAATGGGGAAAAAGAAACTAAACAACATTTTATATATATATATATATATATATATTCCCCAGTACAGGTCTTCCTGAGCAACAACTCACCTGCTATGTTTGGTTGAACTTGAAAATCTAAGTATATAGCAACAGAAAAATGCATTACTTGTGAAAGTTTTAAGTCCAAAAAAAAAACAATACAATAATCCAGTAAATCTTTCCTTGGCTTTTTTTTTTTTTTTTTTTGAGGCCCTT